GTGTAAACTGTAGAGTCCTGGCCTGTAGATGAGTGTAAACTGTACAGTCCTGGCCTGTAGATGATTGTAAACTGCAGAGTCCTGGCCTGATGATGTAGCTCGTCTGTGCTGGCTCATTCTTTTGAACAGTGGTTGCTTTGTTTCCTCGATGTATAACTGATCACAGTCGTCCTGACACTTAACAGCATACACAATATTACTCTGTCTGTGCCAGAAAACTGGATCTTTGGGGTGAACCAATCTTTGGCGTAACGTGTTTTGGGGTCTGAAAGCCACTGGGACGTCATGTTTATGAAATAAATGTCTCAGTTTCTCTGAAACTCCCGCCACATACGGAATGACGACTGGTTTGGATCTGGGTTTATGGTCTTCATTTTCACCTGGTTGTTGGCTGGAATCCTGTTTGGGTTTCTTGTCTGCTTTCAGAAAAGCCCAGTCAGGATAACTGCACTGCTCCAGGGCCTGTCTTGTGAGTGACTTCTCTTTCTCCCTGGCTCCTGGGTTTGTGGGGACGCTGTCTGCTCTGTGGTACAGAGTCCTGATGACTCCTAACTTGTGTTCCAGTGGGAGATGGGAATCAAAACGCAAATACTGGTCTGTCTGGGTGGGTTTGTGATACATGTGTTTCCAACCATCCTCCATCCGAAACTGAGACATCACAGTCCAGGAACGCCAACCTGCCATCTTTTACATCTTCTTGTGTGAACTTTATATAATAAAGTTAAAATGAATCCAAAAAATCGTAGAGTTACTAAAAAGTTGTTTATTTACATGACAGAATCATTGTATGAAAGGTATGTTTTTGTTCTTTCAGCTGCTGATTTCAACAGTAATTCAGTTTTAAATCAGGCATGAAACCGTACAAATTATTGCATCAAACGTTGAGTGTAAATAGTATAAACATGATCATATATGTGCACGTTACATGTAGTTTTACATTGTATTTAAGATTAAAAAACAGTCATTGGGGTTCCTGACCCCCGTTTCTCTTGGTAAAACACTTGGCTCTACTTTCGTTTTTTTCATTTCAGCTTCAAATGAGTACATTTTTCAAGTGAGAACCTGTGGTTTGAGAACATTCCCCGTACGGTGATGCTGCTGTTACAGGTTGATCAGACTCTCCTCCTCGGGCTCACCTGGATCGCTGACGACATCAGTTGGGAGGAGGGTTTCTGCAGGTGGAGGCGGTGGAGGAGGTGGAGGAGGCGGAGGAGGTGGAGGGGGCAGGGCAGCAGGGCAGGTACGGACCGGCTGGACGATCGTTTGGCCAATGGGATGGTAAACGAAGCAGTAGGCTCCCGGTTGGCAGCTGTTCTTCACGCCGAGAGCCAAATCTGTCGGTTTGACGGGCTGGTAGATGTTGTCCATGTAGACGCTGAGCGTGTAGGAGTCTGTAGGAGAGAAAACTGGAAGAATGACTCCATCTGCTGCTCATTTGTAGTCTTTAAAGTCAAATTCAATCTGGAATCGGTGTGATGATTATAAAACAAACGTTTACCTTGTTCAAATCGCGCGGCACACTGTTCAGAGAGCTGCTGGATGGTCATTGAGGGGAACACACCCAGAGTTTTGGGGTTTTCCCCGATCTCAGGACAATACACTGTCAGGAAGTCCTGCAAGACAAGGACACACAAAGTTCAAATGTTTTTTCAGAGAACTGGAGTCAGAGCAGAGTTTTAAAGACAGYCGGGGGACGCACGGACACGTCCAAGCGATTGTTTTTTGTCCCGTGAATGTGTCATCCTACCCGAACAGATCCCTGGGCCTCGCGCTCCTGGTTGAGRGTGCGCCGCCGCTCCCAGCGGTGGATGGAGTCCTGAACCTCTCTGCTCAGCTGCCGCGTCGCTGACCTCTGCTGGTCGAAGGTCTTGATGTGCTCCAGAGTTCCGTAAGTGGTGGTCAGATAATACGAGCCTGAACACACACACATACACACGAGAGGGACAAAAAGACAATCCTGATGTTTCTGCTGAGTCCCTTGAGGTCTCACATCCTTTCAATCAGACATACTTTTATGCGTCTATTGTTTTGTTTTGGGTCATCGTACCTTCTCCTAGAGTTAACGCTGGGTCCATCAGCTCCATCATGTACTCGACATCCAGCTGCAGGGCGGACAGATTGGATCTTGCCAGAACGTACATCATTACAGGAAGGAAGTCATCAGCGCCGTGGACCCGCCCTGAACACACAAACACTTTAAGTTTTGAGCTTTTTACATATAAAATCTGTGTTTCTCATGCTGGGACGTTGAAAGTGCGTGTTGTGTTTGACATGCGATGGTTCTGACCGGGAGAGCTGATGGACATGGAGTTGTAAATGATCTTGCAGGTCTTCAGCAGGAGCTCGATTTTCTTCTGCGGGGAGTACTCCTGGTGCAGTTTGTTCAGCTTGATGCTGATCTTCTCCATGGCGGSGGCCTCGGGGACGGCGGTGGTGATTCCCAGAGCTGTGGTGGTGCTGCCGAGAACGACAGACTGACACACACCCCCACACACACACACTTTCAGTTTAACATTTATATGTTTGTGGTTAAAGGGTCCTGTTACTTTTGAGACGTCCCACCTGGTTCTGGACCAGCTGCTCCATGCTGCCGGTGCTGACGTGCAGTTTTTCCAGACTCTTGTAGATCGGCTCCTTCAGCGGCTTCAGAACGCTTTTACACAGAGCCCCTTCGATGATGCTCTCTGCAAAGTTGTGAGCGTCGTTATTTGCGTGACAAAAAAAAAAAAAAAACACGTGTGTGTAAAAACTTGTAATTACCCAGCTTGTCCTGCGTGTACTGATGCTGCGGCTCCATTATGACCTGCAGCTCCGTGCTCTGCAGCAGGTAGCTCTTCAGTTGCGTCATCATCTGCCGGATTTCCTGCAGCAGCTCTGTGGAGGTCAAGTGGTTGGATATGGTCTCCAGGGTGAAGGCCCGGTGGTGTTTCACCTGAACACGGAGCATAAAATTATTCCTTTTTTTTTAAATCTTGTCAACATGAGGCGGTGCAGAAGAGCTTTAAATTAATTTATGATCTCACCAGGTTACCAAAGTAGCTCATGGGGTCCCGGGCCAGCTCTACGATGCGTTTGGTGAGCCGGCCGTCGTGGTAGATGAGTCCGGTGAGGACGGTGGACAGGCGATGCCGGGCTCGGTCCAGCATGACTGTGGGGGTCCGCTTGACGATTGGTTTAGAGCTGCGGCTCTCTGTAGGGGTCCTGTTGTTTGTTTCTTGCTCCTGATTGGTCTCTCCCTCCTCCTCGGTACTGCTGGTGGAACAGGAGTCCTGGTCGGGCCCCAGAGCTCCGCCCCCCTGTGGCGAGTACAGTGACACYTCCGGGCGTCTCGGGGATGGAGGCGGAGGTTTCGTCTCTGCGCTCTGATTGGTTGAAGCTCCTCCTCCTACCTGGCTGGAGCACACAGGTGAGTTTGCTGGTTTGGTCCTGGGCGGGGGGATGGGTCGAGACGGTTTCTTGACCAACAGTGGTCCCTGGGACTTCAGTTTGTCCTCCTTCACCGCCTTCAGGTCCACCTCGTCTCTCCTGCTGGTCTCCTGCCCGGCCTTCTCACCCAGCAGATCTGCTCCCGGTTTCTCTTTTCCTCTCTCTCTCCTCCCTTTTCACTCCTCTTTGCAGGATTCTGTCCATCGTCTCCTCCCGCTGTACTCTCTTTGACCGAGCTTTTCCTGGAGGAGGAGGAGGTGCGGTGCAGAGGAGCAGGGGGCAGAGGGGGAGCAGCTCGGGCCTGCAGGGGCACAGGAGGCCTCGATGGAGGAGGTGATGTTGGCTTCTTCTCGTCTTTCTCGCCTCCTTCCTCGTTTCGCTCAGGTTCCGGAGCTACAGGAGTTAAGGTTTGAGGAGAGGAGAAGAGGAGGCCCAACCCGGGGCCTGAACCCAGGCTGGGGGGTCGAGGAGGAGGGGGCCGCCTGTATGGACCCTCCAGGCTGGTCTGAGTCGGCCCTTTGCCCTGCGTGCTCGGTTTCTTGGAGGGTTCTCCGTTCTGCAGGGAGGAGGCGATGATTTTGCTGTAGATGGGGTCAGCCCTGGAGGTGGAGGAGGCGGGGTTTGGGTTTTTGTTGGGCTGCTCCTCCACGGCGACTGGGTTTACGTACAGGTATGTGTCGGGCTGAACCGGGACATCCCGGTCCTTCTGGTTCACATCAGACGCCCAGAAATCTGCAGAAACAGAGTTAAAACGATTAAAAATCCGAAAAACGAAATAAATTATTTGGATTTTGGATTTCAAAATAAAACTTTGTGTTTGTTTCATTAGTGACAGCGCAGATGATGCTGATTTATTTACCTGCACCCAAGGCTGAGATGACCTCCAGCTCTTCTTTCTTCGTCGCCACGTTGACGGCC